ATATTACAAAGTTGCACACTTAAATACTGGAATAAATCTAAGGTAAAAGAAGCTTTTAGCTTTATAAGTATGACGTACGTCGTACATATGTATATACATACAAAATGTGCAGTATGTACATAATCTATTTACTGTATTATAATCCAACATAATCTGTATAATGATACTGTGCACAATCCAATCAAATAGTAATGATCTACAGGAGAGGATGGCATATAATAAAACCTACGGGGATGGTATATACATTAACTCTTTTTTAAAATTTATATATTTTTAGCTTTTAAGCAAGTAAAATTTTTTGTCTTATAATTTAAATATGAATTTTAAAAAAATATAATTTTTATTTTCAAATTTTATTAAAAAATCTTATTTAAATATATCAATTTTTTAAAAAAATAGATCAGAAGTATTTTATAATAAAATTCAGAGCAAATTTGTCCTGAATTCCAAATGGTTTAAGGGATAAGTGTAGAGCCAAATGTTTTTTCAGTTTTTGAATAAATTTTTTTTTATTTTTGCAATTATATGTTGCTATACTCATGATCAGCTATATATATTTTTAAGTGAAAGTATATATACAACCAAAAACATATTACATAAGATGTTGTAAAATGCTATTGCACTAAAATCAGGAACATAGATCTTGACTAATTAGTATATTATAAGGTTTTTTGATCAGACATAGAATTGAATCAATCTAGAAAAAAATTAAGAAATTATTTGTATATACTATCATAAAACTGAATAACATTATTACGTTGTAATTTACCAATACTGTTGGTCTTCTCAAAACTAGTATGCATAGTGAATAGGTTCTGTATCAGTTTTGAGAAGTTAAAAAAATTATATAATAATTGGTCAGAAATTGCCAATCAATTTGCAAAATTGGTATATAAAAAATTTTTATCAAATTTGATCAAAAAATTTTGCTTTAAGTTTTAAAAATTCAACTTCACTTAAATTATTAAAGCTATACAAAAATGATTTTTATTTTGTATTAAATGACATTTGAAATTTCAATTGGGGTCAGATTTTTTTTTTGTTAATCAATGTAGCAAAGTTTTTAATTTTTAAGGTTTTATTAAAAAGCATTTTACTTGTTCAGATGATTTAAAGTTCATTAACTTTTAAATCAGTTAAATTATAAGGTATTATAAAATTATATTGAATTTAACTCTATCAGTAACTTTCAAAGTATAAGAATAACTTGTAAATATAATAGAGAAGTTTTAAAAAGAGTTAAACTAGTAATTATCTCAAATTATCACTTCAATATAATCACATAAGAATTTTGATTGGCTATAAAATCTATAAAATATAAACAAATATCAGAGACAGAGGGGACATTCAAATCTGATAATTTCTGAGATCAATATTACACAAGTATTTATATAGAATAGTAGTATAAACACCAGAATTTTCAGGTATAAGAGAACTTAAAAAAAACAAACTAAACATACTATACTTTACTAATAAAATACCTTTATAATGAATGTCTTGTTAAAGCATCAAGTTGCATCAAGTTTGTATCATGCTACAAAAGGTAGTTTTATTAAGAGTTGAAGCACTGTATACCATATAGTAAGAGATAAAAAAAGTATATAGTACTGCTTAATTTGCAAAGTTTAATATTGTTTTTCTTTCTTTTTTTATTATTATTTTAATTACTAACCTGTTAATTTTTATTCACAAACTTATACAGACTCTTTTTTAAAGTTATACATGTTTTTTAAAAGATATTTATAATAATAGAAGTAATTTAATATATATGATAGCATAGTTTTATTAATTATATGAGTTTTTTAAGAAAAATAATTAGAGGATGCATAATTTGCTATTAAAACTTTCTAAAATAAGTTTTTTAAAACTGTAAAGCTGCTATTACAATATAGGTGAATAGTCTGATTCCTTTACAATGCGAGTTATTTTATTTTAAACTTAAACTATGAATGAAATTATCATATATGAATAATGCTTGTTGATTAGATGCTTAATTTAACTATTATTTATCTGTTTTGATCATGTGTTAATAAAGCTTGTTTTTAATTAGTTAACAATCTTATGACAAAGTCTGTAATTTTTTAAATAGTGAGAAAATCCTCTCTGCTAATGTTAGATAATCTATGTTTATTTACTTATTTGTTCATGTAATGCAGGTATATATTATATCTTCAGGAGAATTATACTAATACAACTTTGTATAGCAAAATGGCTAGCATTAAGTTAGGATGTAGGCAGAATTAGTCATAGGTATAATCAGATTATATATATGGAAAAGATAAAATTAACTAAAATAATAGAGGCAAGAACAATAATTTTTTGTAATAATTAAGACTAAATTTTGTATGTAGTTAAGACAAATTTTGTGATTTAATGTGATAAGCCTTTTTACCAATTTCTGTGCAATTTTGTGATGCTATTTTATTCTTTCTGTAATTTAATGTGATTATAAATAAAATTTTGTAACAGAATTTTCTTAAACCACTAACTATTAGTTCTATAACTTTCTGAAAAACATGCTTGTAATTTACATTAATTTAGTGTTTACTTTTCTGAGAGTTTCTAATGCTTGGCCTGAATTTATTGGCCAACTCCTACAATATTTTATAATTCGGTACATTTTGTAGAATTCTGTGACATTTTGTAGTGACTAATGGTGATTTTTGTAGTTGGTTGTGATTAGAAGAAATTCTGTGGTTTTCTGTGAAACACAAAAAATCACTGTCCCTAAATAAAGGCACCTGATATTACACATTATCACCTGCTATTTTGTTTATATTTTTTGGCCAATAAAAATTTTTATATAATTATATCAGGTTGTAATTCATGATAATCACTGAGTTAACTCTTTTTTAAGTGTTTCAATATAATGGCTATGTACTAATTCATTATCCATTTCAAAATTTAAAATTTAGTGTGTATTAACAACAAACATTTAAAACCTTTATTTCTTTCCAAAATAATACAAATTCAATTGATAAAAATTGGTAAAAAATGGAAATACTAAAAGAATAATTTATCTTTATATTAATAGATTTGGATATTCTATAGAATAGGTGGGTAATATAAGAAATAAACTTCGCTAATAATTAGTAATCATTAATTTTTAATAGCAGAGTTGTGGAGTTTGTCTACCTATACTATAGAACATCTGAAGATTTTTATTAGTGTGAAACTAGAAAAAACATTCCTAGAATAGATCTGAAATTTACATATTTATTGCAAAACTAATTGTATGTGATTTAAGAAAATTATTGTATATAGTGTCTAACAAATTTGTAAACTATTAGATTCAATGCTAAATTGAAACAGCTAATTAGAAAAGAATTATTCTTGATCAGATCAACTTTATTGATAAAGATACAATATGGGAGTAGTACTACATTGCAGCTCTTGGTGCTAATATATATATACTTTCAAACATAAAGGCAACTACAATCTAATCAGATGTTATGTGCTGGTTATATTTCAAAGACAAAGGAGGATTGAAACTTGAGTATGTATATATATGATGCATTATGATAGTGCATTCCTAATTCTAACAAAGAACCTCACACATATTTTCCACTCATTCTGCTTTCACCACTTCTTCTACTTTTTCTATATCTTCTTCTTTCTGCTTCTTCCTATTTTACTAACTTTTTTTGCTTTGTCAGCTTCTTCTACTTCATCATCTTCATCAGTTTCTTCTGCTTTGTCAGGTTCATTAGCTCTTTCAGTTTCTCAAGCTCTCTGTCTTCTTTGGCTTCATTGGCTTTTTCAGCTTCTTCAGCTCTTTCAGCTTCTTTAGCTCCTCCTTTTGCCATTTCTGCTTCTCTTCTTCTTTGTGTTTTACTTTTTATTCAGTTTAATCCACTATTATATACTCATTTTTGATTCATTCCTTTGCCTTTATTTGCCAAGTTCATAATTTTTCCTTCTTTTTAAAGCAGCAAGCATGAGTCTATGCTATGGTGTAGCACATTCTACTTGCTACACATATATCTAGAAACAAACATGCTATATTTATCAAATGACAACTAATGAAATACTTTTTTTTTATTTACACAGCAAGCACAAGCCCACACTATGATGCAGCACATTCTACTTTCTATACCACAAATAATGATTAAAAGGTCCTTATTTTTTTTTATTTAAATAGCATATACAAGTCCACACTCATTCTACTTCCACCTAAATATGTACTTCTTATATTTTACTTTCTATTAAATAGCAAGTACAGGCCCATGCTATGGTGTAGCATATTCTATTTGCTTATTATTTATTTATTTATTTATTTTATTTATTTATTTTTTCTGTCAGGGTAAGGTGTTTCTGAAGACTGTCTTCCAAGATCTTTTTTTTTGTTCTTTACTAAGGTGTTCATAATTGAGTTATGAAAGAGAAACAGAATTGTAAGGTGTTATAGCTCTTGTATTTTACTTTTCTTCTCTCTTCTTTATTACTACAGTAGTATTTGTTTGGTTTGACAACCAGTAAATAAGCTAGACCAACCCATAAACACCTATATTTGTATATTAAGATTTGACTAAAAGTTCTCTCAGGTTTATAATGCTGTTGTATGTATAGGCAATTCTTGTTTCAAAGTTAATTAGTGAGGAAGAACTGTTGATAGTATTTGTTGATTTGGATTTGTAATTCTTTGGATCAGTCTAATTTTTTGGTTTAATTAATGATATGCTTGGATTCTGTGCAGCTTCTTATTTAATAGAATTCCTTCATTCATTTATAAATCATCTCATTTAATAAGAGAGACAGCACATTTTCTTGAGGTGATGTAAAATCTTCAGAATTAAGATCTTATATGTAAAATCTTTGGAATCAAAATCTTATGTAGATATTTTTTTAAAATTGTTACACCATTTTGTAAATTTTATAACTGATTATTTTAAAAACTTCTTAGGATGTCCTTTTGTTCAGCAAATTTCTATACTCTTAATTATGTTAGTCTTTTTCAGCTCAAGGTAATTTTTAGTCAGCCTCTACTTCTCACTATTTCAAATGTTCGATTTCTTTTACCTTTTTTTTTTTGAATATTGATTCACCAAAACAGGATCTGATCATATAGCAACATTTTCAATTCTTTTATTCAAAACTATGTTCTATTCTTGCGATTCATAGTATTTAAAGAACAGTGTCAATAGCTAATTTACACCCTATATAGGATCTTGGACTATTTTAGACTAGCTTCTGCTCTGCACATCTATATAATGTTTCATTCAATTTTTTTTTTCAATATTCTATTTGCTACATATGTACAACTTTTTGGTTCTTACTTTCTTTAAAGGAGCAAGTACAGGCCCACACTATGGTGTGACACATTCTACTTGCTATTGTATACATATACTTAACTGTTATATATTCCCTTCATGTGGTTTATATCAACTGATTCCAAAAATTCTTGAATGCTTTAATGTAGCACTTTGAACTATTTTAACACCATTTGCATTTTCTTTTGTACTGGAATATACCCAAGGAATTTATTAGTTGTATGACTACTGATTTTTACATTCCAATATTTATAAGTAAGCAGGTCCAATTTACAACAGTTTTTTAGGGTGGGTGGGGTGAGACCATATGCAAAAAAGCTAGACCTAAGTCAGGCAGTGAAGGAAAAATGCACTGCCGATCATGATTATTCATCTAATCTTTAAATACTATTTCAAATTACACAGATCAAATAGATAATTCTTATAATAATAACCCTAGCATGACTATTATCGACATATAGAGATATTATTCTTGCCTGAATCAACTTTATTGATGAAGATACAATATGAAAAAAAAAAGAAGATTATAGAAAAGTGGTATATTTTTTGTTCTTGCAAAACATGTCTTATAATGCTTTTCTTTGTTATATTGTAAATTTAAATCTTTGACAAATATTACTACAAAGTGAATCAGCCAATGCTATTCCTCTTCTAATCCAAGATTATTCACTAAAATCTGGGAAATCAATATGATGTCTTGCAAATGTATCTGCTAAATGCTTTTCTTTCTTTTTATCCATAGTTCTTACAACAAAGATCCAAAGAAATTAATGCAGTGTTCTTGCAAGGTGTATCATTTAATGTTTTTCTCCTTTCCAATAAAATTTTTATTGCTTTTGTTTTAACATAAATCTATTAGCAAATACATCATTATTCTCGCTTGTTCGATAGGCACAAGAATGATGCGAAATGACACAAAAATGATATGAAATGCCATTTTATCCTCTTCTTTCTTCTATTCCTTTTCTTTCTTTTCTTCTTCTTTTTTTTCAGCAAAGGTCTATGTAACAAAATACATCTGCTGGTGCTTTTACCCTTCTGATCCAAGAGTGTTATCCCTCATATTTAAAGGAATTTGTATAGTGTTCTTACAATGTACATTAGTAATGTTTAACTTCCTTCTGATCCAAGATTGCTACAATAGGGACCAGAGAAATTAATGCAGTGTTCTTGCAAAGTGCTTCCATAGATGCTTGTCCTGCTTATGAGCTAACATCAATTACCTCCAAGTCTCTATTTCTTTAATATATTGCTCTTATAAATATTCATCTATTAATGCTTTTCCTACAGATATTATTTCATTTACTTCATATAGACTTATCAAGGCTCTCTAAGCCTATTTAATTTGTTTGTTCATCTTATTGTATCCATAACTGGTCAATACAAATTTGTATTGTTTTGTTCCTCTTATGGAAGGGGGCGCCATACATGAAAAAGCTAGACCTAAGTCGGGCAGCGAAGGAAAATATGCACTGCCGATCACGATTATCCATCTAATCCTTAAATACCATTTCAGGTTACACGGATTAAATGGGTGGTCCTCGCGATAATAACCCTAGCGTGACTATCGTCAACGCATAGGGCTAAATCATTTAGAGCTCTCATTGTTGTTGAACAAACAAGCCAAAACGATCTACATTATGGACAGAAACGAGCGGTGTAACTGATAATATTCAAAAAAAAAAAAAGATCTGGAAATAATTGTTCACTCCATACATTTTCTGCGAATGATTGTCCACCGTGTGATAATGTTTCGACAATCTTGCAATTTTTAGCATTCGTTTAAACCAAAATGAAGAATAATTTAATCATTCTTAAATACGGAAAA